ATTGATGTTCTTACCATATACAGAGAGAAACTGAGGCGCAGAAAGGCTAACCCAGTCAGTTATAAAAGTAGTCATAGAAGAGTTGATATTTAACACAGGCTATCCATCTGCAAAGTTCATGCTCCTAGATGGTCATATTATTCTTGTTTTATTTATTCCAAGAATCATTTAGGAATAGTTTTGATGGCAAGTAACAGAAAACACAACCAAGAGTGCCTCTGAAATTTGGAAATGTTTTTTCACTTAGCAATAATTACAGGAATAAGCACTGGCATTTCTCTCAATGCCTTCAGCAAGTCGGGCATTCCCCATCATATCAGCACCCATGTGCTTAGCAACCTGTAGCCCCTGAACCTCCAGATATGACTCCACACTAGAGGGAGGGAGAAAAGGTAGAAGAAAATGCTTCTGGCAGGTAATTTGTTTTTCCCATCTGGAAATTAAGCTAATCTCAATAGACTGTCTCCTACATCTCACTTGCTAGAACAAGATCATGTGCCCATTCTTCAACCAACCAAAAGTCTAGCAAAAGTTATCATGACTAGTTTAGACTAATCATAATTTCTATCTTCTGAGAGAGAAGGGGGCTGGACACAATGGCTCCTGAGTAAACTGGGCTTTTACATACACATGAAATGCAAACAGACTTTATGCAAAGCTAGTTCCAAAGAAGTGAAGGGACCTCACAAGCCAAATCACAACCTCACTAAGTGCAGTAAGTCCCCAGTTCACAAACAAGTTCTATTCCCAGGAGAACATTCATAAATTGGATTCATTCACAGTCTGACAAAGTGAGCCTTATACAGTACACCTGTGAAAGTGCACAAGTTGAATGTTCATAGTTGAGGATTTGATGTGTAAATGTGTTAGAGTCTTTTATAGCAAGGAACAGTGGTGGAGGGAATATAGTGAGACAATAGACATGTCCAGGCTTGTTCTATTCCTCCCTCCCCTCCCTACCTCTCCTTTCCTTCCCAGTGGAAATGAAACTGGACTTTGACCTCTTGGTGCCAATATCTGCAACTTTTCCATCCATTCATGTGGGCTGAGAGAAACTGTGGGTGGCCATTTATTTCCTAGTGAGACAGGAGATTAGGGCTTATAAGGCTGGCTGGGAAAGTAGGTGTGACCTGCTAATTACAAACTCCTAGGACAGGCACGCAGAACAGTTTCCCAAAACCCTGCATGCAGGCTTCTTGTGAAAACTCAAGCAGGTTTTCCATAGATTGACCCAGACCTGACAGCCTGAGGAAAGGGTAATACAAAAAGGATCGTTGACACTGAGTTTTTGCCACTGTGTCCCTCTTGGCCTACCTCACACTATAGGTTGCAATTCTTTTTCTGCTTTTATTTGCCCAAACTCATTCTGCAAGGTGTGTTTATTTTCCTACTCTTTTTTTTTTTTAGACAAGTTCTTGCAATCTAGTTCAGGCTGGCTTTGGACTTACTATGTAGCCCAGTTGGCCTCTAATTTGCACCAGTTCTCCTGCCTCAGCCTCCTGAGTGTTGGGATTACAGGTATGCACTACCACACGCAGTTTCTCTTCCTACTTTTAATAAATCTGTGCTACTGGCAGGCAGCCAGCATAGACTGAGAGAAGCAGCAAGCCCTACCTCTACAAATCTGCTGGCCACCATCATCTTCAGGGACCTGTAGCCAGCACGAGCCAGAAAAACCAACCAGCCATGCCTTGGAGAAACTGATAGTCTCTAGAAAAGCCTTCCTCTTACCCCACCACCTCCCCAGGAACCTGGGTTAGGGGAAAACCAGGAGCTTGGCCTATCTCCCCTACATTGTGGTTGGATAGCCAATGTGGGAAGTGCCTGGGACCCTACAACCCACTCATCCAGAGGAACCCAGGAAAATGTCAAGACAAAAGAGCTGAAGGCAATCTCTGGCCTCCAGCCCAAATAAGTCCAGGAGACATGGACATGGAATAAGTCACACACCTGAAATTTCTAGAATGATGGCAAGTGAAGTAAAGATACTACCTCATGAGGCTATAAAAGAAATCAGATCAGAAGTACCGTCTCAGATAAGAAATGATAGACATAATAAAAGGGTTGCTGAGCATATCTAGAGAAGACATAATTTTTTAAAAAAGAAGCATAGAAAAATGAAGGAAACATTGAGTGCATATATAGAGAATTGGAATGCATGAAACAGACTCAAAGAAATATCCAGGAAATTAAAAACTCCATTGAAAGCCACTTGAAAGAAACTGAAGATAGATTTTCAGAGTTTAAAGACAAGATGGCAGCTAGTGATTGCAAAACAAAAGATGTCTTTAAAATAACAAAGAACCAGGAAATAATAATTCAATGATGGCAACACAAATAAAACTAATTTAAGATTAATAGGTATCAGCAAAAAAGTAGTCAACACAAATGACATAAATAGACTATTTACAGAAAGAATAGAGAACTTCTCCAGCATGGGAAAAAGATGTGACATACAGATAAGTGAGGTATATAGAAATCCAACTAGCCATAACCAAAGTAAATCTACACCCAAACATATAATAATCAAGATCCCAGAAATTCAGCACAAGAAAACAATATTAAACACTGTTAGAGAAAAGAAACAGATCACCTATAAAGGAAAACCCAACAGAATCACAACAGACTTCTCAACACAAACTATCAACTCAAGAAGAGCTTGGAGTAAAGTATTTCAAGTTCTGAAAGAAAACAACTTCCAAACCCAATTGATGTACCCTGAAAAACTCTTTCAAAATTAATGGAGAAATACTATACTTCCATGACAAAGAATAACTGAAGGAATTCATGAGCACCAAACCAATCCTACAAAGAATACTGAGGAGTATTTTAGAGAGAGATAAAAATGACCACAGTTCCAGGATCAGCAGCAGAGTTGTATCACCAAGCAGAGCAGACAACTGGATGGAGGGGGAAAGTAGGGAGCCAACATCAGGAAAAAAACATAAAAGGGATGAAATACTGCATGTTGATCATAATCATTAATGTAGATAGCCTCAATTCACCAATAAAAAGAAACACAGAGTGGTTCAAGAAACAAGATCCATCAATGTTCAGGACACAAGAAACACAGTAACTCAAAAGGAAATTCATAAACTTAAAGTCAAAGGAGAAAAAACAATGCTCCAAGCAACAGGGAACAAGAAAAAAGCAGGGGTATCTTGCCCATCGACTGCAGAATGGACAAGAAAGATATGGCACTTTTATACAATGGAAAGCTACCCAGCTATAAAGAAGGATAGTCACCAGGCTCTTGTAGGTAAATGGATACAACTTGTCATCACGCTTTTGGGTGAAATGGTTCAGACTCACACATGTCCCATGTTGGTGAGGATGAGACAGATGACTGGAATGAGTGTCATAAACCCCTTCTTGCCAATTTGATTAGTATCAGAGATTTAGAAAGAGCAGATCTAGGCTGAGTTTATTTAAAGTAAATGGAAGAAAACCAAGCAAGAAGAGGCAGGAGTGTAGGTGACAATGAGATGTGTACCACACTCCTCGGCTTTGAATTGTTTGATTTCTCATTATTGTTTAGTCCCCTGGGTAATAGTCCTGTGGGAAAGCAAGATAGTAAGATGAGGGAATAAGTCAAAAGGCATAATCTCTATAATTATCAATCACAAAAAAAGCTTCACTTAGAAATGCAGTTGCATAGCTAATTTTAAATAAGGGGTGAAAGAACTTGGGTCATATATGACTGAGTTGGCCAATGGCTGTCAAGAGAACCCGAGAGCATCGCCTTGGCTATGAGTGCCCAGCAGTGAGAAAGAAAATGCTATCCTGAGACTATCAAATGACCCCACAGCACAATCCTTTGACTGCAAGACAACAGAAAGCACAAGTCTCAGGTGTGTGATTAAAATCAGAGTGCATAATTAGTATTTTTGAGGTAGTAGGCATATAGGATTCATTTATATGCCCCTATGTAGTCATAATATCACCCAAATGTCTCCAGATCTCACCTGATACCTGGTATCGATAGACTCATGCAAAAGTAATGACTCCAATGTCGTGGGCACATGTCTCAACCAGCCCCTGAGATTCCCCTGCTGAGTATTTCTGGGAGTCCCCATGGACTTCATGTGTATGCATAGAAACAAGTTCCAGCCCACTGGGACTGCGCTGCCCTAGATTGCCACAGCCTTGGATAATGGCCTGGAGCAAAAAGGAACTGCAGCCTCCTTTCCTTTGCATCCCCACTTTCAAAAGGAAAGCTTTCAGCTCTGGAAACAGAGCTGCTTATATCTTCTCTCTCCCAAGGAGGTGCTTTTCCATCCGGGGCACAGATTCAAGTGATAGTGACTGATAAACTCAGTATCTCTTCTCTGTGCCAAATGTTACAGCTTGTTGTTGCATCAGCTCATCTTGCCTGCCTCTTTCTTCCCTTAGGACAACTGACTAATCTTCTGTGTTCTAAGAACCTATTCTTAGGAAACAACCAGAGACATGGCCAAACGTATGCATAAGGAATCAATTACAGAGCTCTTCATAATGATTTTTTAAGAATTTGAAATTTTATCAGAAGGAGGCTGGTTAAATCAATTATAGCATATTCATTTTGGAACATAAGATGCATCCATTTCAAATCATAAGGTAGATTCACATTTATTAACATGGAAAGATATTCATGATATACTGCTGAGCTGGGGAAAGAGTATGATCTCATTTCTGTAACAATATAAATTAACACATGTTCACACGAGAGTGTGTGCATTAATATGTGCACACAGTCTCACAGAAACACAGAAGTTATCTATGGACAATCACATGGGGTATTTTTGCTATATTCTTTATATATTTCCAAATAGCACAAATCTTTTTATAAGAAGCATGAGGTAATTTCATAATTATACAAAGATAAGTTATATCCACTTTGGCATATAATTCTTTTAATAAAATAAGCTTTCGTACTGATGCATTCTTTAGGATAAAAGATTGAAGGGGTATAAAAATCTCTACTTAGTACATTTTGATGTAATAAAGGTGTAATCACTTACTGGAAATTTCTGGGGAATATGGAAGAAAATGAATCTTAGCAGAAAGATGATTAGTACTGTACAGCTCCCAAAAATACCACAACGCTGGCCACCAGGGCAGTGTCCCATCACCTCTGTTCCTGGAAGCCTCAGAAACTGCAATTTCTAGAATAAAAAAAAAAAAAAATAGAGTGAAACAAAGCCTGGGGTAGTGTTTTCTGTGACTACAGTTTTTTTCAATTCTCTGCTTATTTTTTTCTAATTCATTTGTAAAATCTCAAAGATTTACTTCACCTGGCATTCATAGTGCATTTTTTTCTATATTTGCCTGTCTTTTGACTATTTTGTGTGGAATTTTATACTCCGGAGAAGTTTGCTGCATTGTGTATGTGATCAAGTGTAATAGTCTTCTCCTTTGTGAGTCTTTGCTCTGGGATCTTACCTGTGTCACAGCTTGGATTGGAAGTGCCCACCAATGCTCATTTGGTAAAGGCTTGGTCAATGAGCCCCTATTGGGAGATGACCCAACCTATAGAAGGTGCAGCTTAGTGAGAGGAACTGAGGTCACTAGGAGCATGGCCCATCAGCCACTGTTTCTCTTTCTGTTCCTAGCCACTAGGAAGGCAGCAGCTTCATTCCATGGTGTAGTCTGCATCATGATGTTCTGTCTCATCACAAGCCCAAAGCAGTGGTAGAGGGGGAGGTCAAGTTACCATGGCCTAAAGCTTCTGTTACTATGAGCAAAAATAACTCCCTCCTCAAGGTGATTTCCCTCAAGCATTTTGTGATACAATGGAAACTTAGCATACTTAGAAGTGCATTTTCTACCTACAGTTACCAAAATCTGTTTCTTCATAATTTATTTAATGTCCACAATGTCATCTGCTATAATTAAATATTATAAATATACTATACTATAACATAAAATGTGTATTGTGGCATATATGAGGCAGTCCTATAAATGGTTCATCCCGGTCAGTTAGTCACTTGTCCTAGCACCATTTATAAACTGAGGAGAAATAAAATCATTATCTACCCAAAAAAAGAGCAGATCCACATGAGTGCACATGTATAGAAGCTTGGATACATTCTGGACTTCCACTGTTCTATTTCATTTGTCTGCCTGCATATTCCTGAGCTAATACTATACAATTATCATCATTATAGTTTTAAGATGTGCTTTATTTTCAAAGGCAAAAGCTCCCTCATTACTGTTTTTTTCAAAACTACATTAATTATTCTTAAATCAATTCCGTTATTTAGAGTTACTTTTTTTTCTTTGTCTTTTTGAGGCAGGGTCTCACTATGCAGTTCAGGCTGGCCTTGGCTCACTTCCCAGGCTGGTCTCAAAGTTGCAAAGATCCTGCCTCAGCCTCTCAAGTGCTGGAATTATAGGAGTGCGCCACCACGCTTGGTTTAGAGTTACTGTTTTTAATTCAGTGTAATTCTCCATTAAGATTCTTGCTGGAATTATATTAAGCTTGTGCGTTAATCTATAAAGAATCTAGTATTTTCTATAGAAATACTTTTGGCCTGTCAGTAGACTGTAAGTTTCTCCACGTTAACACCCCCCACCCACCCCCTCCCCCACCTCCACCCCTCTACCCCCCTACCCCCACCTCCACACCCCACCCTGCATTTCTTGGTCAGCTGTGAAAGGCTGACTTCCTTTGCCCCTCCCCCTGCTCTTGTTGGTCACAAGCACGTAGAGGTTGGAATCTCCTTATCGGATTTACAGTTGCAGGACAGGTTTGCTTATCGCACTTTCCCGCAGAAGTTCTCCCACAGACTTTCCTGCTGTCTTCTGGACTCGGTGCCTTCCTCTGGCTTTACTATGTGGGTTTCTAGTTTCTGAGAACTAAGTTCATCTTCCCAATTCGCAGGATTCCCGATTTCTGGATCTCTTGTTTGTTTTCTACTCAATACACCACCACAGAGGGTGTGTGCATTTTATTTTTTAAGGTAACAAATTAGCACAAACTTAGCAAATTCGAACAACACAGCTTTATTTTCTCGAGGCTTCCGTGGGCCTGAGATCTGGGAAGGGCTCAGCGGGTCCCTCCTCAGGCCTTGGGGGTGGAATTGCGCCTCGGGCAGCTCAGGAGCAGCTGCTTCCTGTTAGTGCAAAGCTCAGCTCAGCTCCCTGCACAGATCACCCTCCCAGGCCCACTGGCAGCATGGCGGCTACCTCTTCCAGCCCAGGGGGAGACATCAGGAGCCCCTGGGACAGAACTGAAGGAGCGGCCTCCATCCTCCACGCCCACCTACTCCCTCACAGTCACCTCAGAGTCTGTCTCACTCACAGGGCCCCGATGATCACCAGCACCCTTCTACCCCTTGGTCACTTCTTTTCTGAAATTTGTGGTCTTGGCCTAAAGCTATCAAGATGGCAGGTGAGAGGGGATGAAGAGGAGAAGGAAGTAGGTGGTGAAAAAAGCGCTGTGCTCCTTCACAGGACAGAGACCTTGGGCCTCAGGAGCAGGGAGGGGCAAGAGAAAGCAGGATGCATGTCAGTCAGATCTTCCTGCTTATTCTTAGTCTGCCCCATTGGCCTTGGAATTATTGTCAGTGCCTTCATAATTCTGGAATTTGCTAGTCATTTTTCAGTGTTATAAACTTCATTTTTTTTTAATTCTTTGTAGGAATGTTAGTAAAAAGTAAGAAAAATTTGTTAGCTTCCTGATGCTTTGACTGGAGTCTTCACCCACCTGATTTCTGACAGATGTCACCTTCTGTATCCTTGAGAGGACACTGCTGTGTGGTTTCAGGATCTTTTGCAGCAAAGCTCAGCTCAAGACAGTCTGTAGGAACCTTCTTGAGACTGGTGATACCGCAAGAAAACCAGAGACACACGTGAGTATTTGACACAAATTTGCATTACTGCTGGCTACTTCATCCCACAATGGTAGAGACTATTTCCACATGGTCAGTGAAATACTTGACTCAAAGCCCACTGCCTCTCAAGCTCTGCATCATGCCATACCCTCAAGATGTATCTGAAATAGAGACCTTTAGTAATTGTCAGCGAGTTTCTTCCATGCTTAATTCTTAATTTAGTCTACAACTCCGTAACTCTACTGTATTAATAAACCACAGTTCTTTGAAATAAAGTTTTCACCTTACAGCATGGGGAGGTTTCTGTTTGATATGTTACCGGTCTCAGAATCAGAGAGGCACAGTAAATGTACAATGTAAACCAAAAGCTACACTGGTTATGCTCGTCATTTTCATGATGAAAATGAGCAACATTCCTGTCTGGGTTGTTGTCACATCTCCTTTCTCCCACAAATTTCTAAATCTGAAAAACATAGCTGATAGGTCTGTAAAGGGGAGAGAGGGGGAAGGACTGGCCGGTGGTGGCTGAAAAGATAAGAAGTATAAAATATAAGTAACCTTTATTTTGGGAATGGGGGGAGAGACCCCCCCCCGACCCCCCGGGGCAAGGCATCTCCACCCCGGGGCCGTCGATCTCTCTCTGGAAAACGTGGAGTGAGGCACATAAGTAGCCTCAGTCTGGGGTGGACCCTAAGGGGCATTACAGGTAGCTGTACAGGTAGCCCATTGGCATGTTTGGCGCCAGGGACAGGTTTTTAGGGGTGGGGGTATAGGGTTACAGGTAAATCTCTAGGGTCGGGGTAGGCAGGAGCTCCCTAATTCTGGCTGAGGCTTTTTCTGGCTATAGCGTCCGGTCTGGGCCAGCAACCCTTTCAATAGCAAGCAAAATCAATTCTTGAGGGGGCTCATAGAAAGCAACTGTCAAACTTGCATTTTCTATCCAGCCACAGCTTTTATACCGTTGTTTTGGGTCCATAGCTGAAGCAAGCCGTACGAAATGGGAAGAAGAAATCACAGGAAGACGCCCACCTCAGCATCTCTTATGCAAGTTTTAAGAGTCCTTGCAACTACTTGGGGAATGTCTCGGTCCATTCAGGCTACTGAAACAAAATACTGCAGACTGAGTGGCTTAGAAACAATGGACATTTATTTCTCACAGTCTGAAGGCTGGCAAGCCTAAGATCAAGATACCAGCAAATTTAAGATGCGGTGAGGGGGTTGCTTCCCATCTCACTGATGGTACCTTCCAGCTGTGTCCTCACATGTGGGGAAGAGCAGAAATCTCCCTTGGGCCTTAATCCTATTCATAAAGGCTCCATCCTCATGACAGGCAGCTGAATTAGAAATATTATAGGCAGACAGACAGGGCTAGGCCAAAAGGAGCCAGTACAGAACATGAGATACCTTACAACTGTGGGGGGAGACAGACTCCTCTGTTTCAGGCCAGACCTCAAGACAAAAGGCAAAACAAATGCAACGACACCCTAAGTATAAACATCAGAGATTGATACTCTAATAGGTTTGATCACCTTGAGGAAGCCAGGAGTCACCATCCCAACCCCCTATAGGAAGAGTCACTGCTCTTTAAGCATGCCCGCTTGCTACGTGACTCATTTCCCCATTTGTCCCTGATTTTGTCAATTTTACCTGAACACTTAATCTTATTGACTGATCATAATTCTGTCCCACCTCATGCCTATCTGCCTTGTGAGTTCCCGTGTCTTCCCCATCTTGGACTCCTCTCACCTCGTGACTTTGCTCTATAAAAGTCCCTAAAAAAGACAGAGTCTTTGGCAATCCCTTCTGTCTCTCTCTCAGACAGAAGCTTTCTTCCTCTTAATAAATATGTTCTGCTCTTAACCTCTGTTGTTCCTAAAATTACTCTTCGATTTTGAAGAACACAGACTCATACTGGACATCCAGTAGACTGGGAGTTTCATTTCCCTGTAACACAATCATGCCCTAGAAAAGGCTTCTGTCTCCTAATACCATCATCACGTTGTGGGGTTAGGTTTTCAGCACATGGATTAGGCTGCAGTCTGAATGAGACACCAACATTCAGACCATAGCAGCAGAGACTAGAGGTGCCAAGGTCAGAGGGACTGGGTAGGAAGCCTGGGGCTGGGTGCCCACTGGTGCCTCGGTGTGGAGATTATAAAGCAGGAGGTAGGACTTACATACACACTCCAGGCATAAGGTTTTAAATAGCAAATGACACAAGTTTAGGGCTTTGTCTTACAAAACAAGAGACCACACAAGCCAGCCCCCCAGTAGAGGCCTAGGTTCCCCATAACCCCCAACCCCATGATAATGTTCAGCTGCTGCTCACCGCAAACCCTACCCCCAACTGGCTGAGCTACATGCCTGCCTGCCAACTAGGTGCAAGTAACCACTGAAACCAACCCCAGCACATTCCTAACAGTTATAGATCATCAGAGGTCAATTTCTCATGCATGGCAGCCTCAGTAAGCACATGGTTTAAGCTTGCGTGGTCCGTTCCTCAGCAATCTGAACAAGCCACAAAATCTTGCCAATTATCAGTTTCCTCTATCACAATAGTTCTCAAAATCTGGTCCTCTGGCCAGTATCTTGTGGGAACCTCTGAGAAATATGAATTCTATGGCTCCACCCAGGACCTATTGATTCAGAAAGCCTGGTATAGAACAAAAGGATCTGTTTTAACAAGCCCTCCAGGAAATGCCGCTGCAGGCCCCTGTGAGAGATGGTACTCCTATGCCCTGGGGTAGTGGGAGAGTTAAATATGATCTTACTGGTCTGTGTGAACCCATCGGGGATGGCTATGGAGAAATGATGCCAATGTAATAGAAAGCTTTCTTTGGCTTTTATAATATCTTAGATTATTTTCCTAACCAAAAGGAGCTGAACCTGACGTGGTAGCACAAGTCTATAACCTCAGTACTCTGGGAAGCTGGGGCAGAGGGGCTCATAATTTCAAGCCTGACCTGGGCAATTTAGTAACTTAGCAAGACCTGTCTCAGATTTTAAAAGAAAAACTAAATGGGAAGTAACTGGGGATGTGGCTCTGTGTGAAAATCCGAGGTTCAATGTTCAGTATCATGAGAAAAATATAAGAGAGCTGAAACAGCAGGAACAGAGCCATAACCTTCCACAGGAGTGGAAGGCTCAGAGTTGGCTGCGGTATCAGCATCAAGAACATTTTTACAGGTTTAAAATGAGCACCTGTGGCCACAGCTACCTCCTGTGGCCGTCAGCTCTCAGTTTCCAAAAGTTTGTCCTGCTTCCTGTACCCCAGACATGTGCAGCTCCCTTCCCATTGCTCTATATCAGCCCCTGCCAGCACCTGTCTAATTAGAGTTACCAGCTTTTTGTGGCTGTTGCTTCTATGCATTTTCATGGTGTGGCAGCATCTAGCCACTCCACTACTACCCAAGTGGTAAAAATGATCTCTCCGGGTAGCAGTGATTGTTAGTTCATCAAAGTTGCATGAGAAGGCTGGGATTTAGCTTGCATGCCTGACAAATGCAAGGTTGTGAGTTCGATCCCCAACTCAAAAAAAGGCCAGTCTTGTTCTGCTTTTCAGAGTTGTATGGGCTTCTTAGTTGTACGATCTATCTTAGCCCTAAATTCCCCTTAAGACCTATTATTTCTTTACAGAAAGTTTTGCAGGCTAGAAAACATTCTGGAAAGTGCTATTTTGTGTCATAGCAGAAATGCTTGCATATGTGGAAGACCTGGCACATAGTAAGGACTCAGTAAATATAATGACAGGGCCAAGGGAATACTCAGTGGCACAATGCCTGCTTGACAAGCCTAAGGTCCTGAGTTCAATTCCAGGTATCAAAAATAAATAAATTATGAATATTACAAGTCTGTGCCTACCATAACTTGTCCTTGAAATGGTGACAAAAAAGCCAGGAATTCCAGTGCAAAAGCAAAGAAGCACAACTTCACGTAACAGGGTTTGATAATAAAAGGGTTAAGTTCCCCTTCATTTCACAATATTTGTAATGATATTAATTTGGATCAGTTTCTCCTGTTTTCTTTTTCTCTCCAGTTTGAGCGACCTTTTTTCTTGCTAAGACATGGGGCTATTCTACCCATTTCTATGTACTAAAATCCTTCATCACACTCAGCCTCTTTCTTTGTGACTAGAGAAGCAGACACTTTGCACCCGCAAGAAACAGCCAGGCAGAGAGTAATTATTCTGATGTTCCAGAGTGTGATATTCAGAGTTAAAATCTCCAATCACTTGTACGGGAGAGACCAGTTCAGGATCCTCCTCTGATGTGGTGGGAATTGTCTAGCTCACGGTCAAACAGAAAGACAGGCCATGAGAGGCAGCCGGGTGTCCTGGATTTTGGGTCAGCGCTCTGTCTCTTAGCATTTTCTCTCTAGTCACATTTGCCTTGGGAGATCACTTTTAAATGCTTTCCTCAATCCCAGGGTAACAAACTGGAGTTTGGATGTCAACTTCAGCCTACAGACTTGATTTATTTGCCTATATTCAAGCTTTTAAAACTGACAAATTGCACGTTTAGAAGAATATTCTACCTTCCCTTGAATTTTCCAAACATCTGGCAGCACTGAGCCAATATTCCCACGTGGGGTAATCCACTGACTGGAGACCACCTTCTCTGCTTAGCCAAAATGAGTTCACTCAACATGGACACTCCTGCTGCCACCCCTTGCCATTCTCCAGGAGCATATCACCTTTCTGTATGAGCTCGCTAGCTGCCATGATAAAATACCACAGAGTGGGGGCCTTAAACAACAGAAATTGACTTATTCACAATTCTGAAGGCTGGCATACATCATCAAATGTTGAAAGGTTGGCTCTGAAGGCCTCTCTCCTTTGCTCTTTCTCTGTATCTTCACATGATCTGACCTCTGTGTTGTCTAAATCCACATTCTTCTTCTGATAGGAAAACCACTTACATAGGATGGGGTCCACCTTGCAGGCCCCCACTAACATAACCTCCTCTTTAGGAGCCCCATGTCCATATC